GTTAAAATAACAAATAACACATTGCAAAGCACGCAATGACGTTTGAAATTAGACTACTTGTACAACACGAAAGAAAACGTCGCATGGCTATGGAGTTAGCGGAAAATGGAGCTTGAACGGAAAAAATGATGTATTTTAGCAAGTATTTGAAACTTTTGTAATCAAACTTGGTATTTTTGTTGCTCCACTAGAAAAATTCAGGAGCGCTATTGATTGCTCTCCTCGCATAATTTCGAGAAGCGCGGAGGAGCGCCGGCGCGATCGCGCGCCTTTTAAATCAAGGTCTGTTTCTGGCTAAACCCCAGCCTTACACACTATACTTGGTTGATTTGATAGTACTCCCCAGGAGCCATTAAGTGTTTGAAGTAGGTTTTGCACACATCCATAGGCCTAACCTTTTGATTTTAATAAAATAGAGAAACCTTATTTTTCCAAAAAAAAGGAAACCCAAAGGTTTAAAAAAAAAAACAGTACATATGTAAAATTCTAACATAAAAATTTAAATCATTGCAGTGGCATATATAGGTGGCCTGTGGGAGGCAGATTTCACTCGCCCTCTCTAAACACTTGCACCTCCTCCATTGATAATGTTCGAAGCAAAAGAAATATATTGTCTCAAATAGATAAAAATCACCTTATCTTTGTGAGCTAGCTCCCCCCAATTTACCTTCACTCCCCTCTCAGCCCAACATTTCCAGACTCCTAGTTTATATGTCACTGATCAGGCCCGTAACTAGGATTTTTTTGGGGGGTTTCAAATTTGGAAAAAGTGGAGCCTTTTGAAGATGTTAAACGACCAATCAATTGCGCTGACCACATAAATAATTAAGAGTTCCATCTTGAAACTTGTAAAAAGTTGCTACTGTCTATAAAGATTATTTGAGAACAGGATTGTTTTTTTTTGTTTTTTGTTTTTTTTTAAGTTTTTTTTTTTTGCCATCCAAGCGGAGCCAGCTAGCAAACGACGAGGTTCGTTCGAACCCCCAAACCCCGATGAGTCTGATCTCAGTAGCGCCCATAGTGTCAGGAATGCAGTTGAAACATTGAATACTAATAGTAAAGAAGTAATAGAGCATCTTTCTTCTTTTTATCTAATTGGAATCTTGTTTTCATTTTGTGTGGAAATTTTTTGAGTCAACATAAATTAAAAGAGCATCACAAAAATACATCAGTCAAAATAAAAGAAAACATAAAAAATGTCTTTGATGGCTTAAAATCAAATCTCAATTCTAAACTGTGATTGCAGTATAATAAACATGGAGAAACTATTTAATGATGTTGATTTCTAAATTTTTTAATATTTGAATACATTTTAAAGCAAAAAGAACAAGTTTTGAGAAAAAAAGGCTCTGACAGTTGGCACTGGCCAATTTTGTCGATACAATATTGCTCACGTCCTGAGAGGGCGTCTTTCATGACATGTATTCTATTACTATAAATTGCTGTGTTTAGTTCCCAAGACACTTTTATATAGTAAAATCGTCATCATCACATCCAACGGCGGCGGAAGCGGGGGCCATTGGCCCTCTCACTTTTTCTACTGGGGGGAGGGCCTGGCCCCCACACTTTTGGGACTGTTCCCAGCACCAGTGACAAACATTTTACAAACGCTGCAATGTCATTTGTATTATTATTGTTATTGTTATTATTATTATTATTATTATTTGATGTTTAAAGACACCTTGTTTATTTTCGTCTTATAAATTGACCTATTATTATAATTATAATATATATATTTTTTTCATTTTCTAACGAGCATTACAAGTTCCATTTTTGAGTTGAGCAACCAAATGTTGATTTACGTCTGTAAATTTTCCTTGAAACCCACCCTCAAGCAAAGAAAAAATCGCCTGGCTTTGTGAATTCTGTATTTGGCATACGGGAGGAGGTACCGTAGGCAGTCTTTAATGGAGCGACGCTCTAATTCTCTTTATGCTAACCACGAAGATGTATTAGTAGGTGTAACTGATTGGCTTACAGTAAACCTTCAAACTAGCTGAATGCAACCACATTTAAACTCCATCTAATTTAAGGAAAACAATAACATAATTAATTAGGCCATTTTTAAAAATAAAGTTCTCTGTAGGTTCTACAGAATTTACGCTGTAGTTGTGTTATATATGTTGTAAAAACTGTATTGAGTAAAAAAAAATCTTTTGAATAAAAATATATTTCGCTTGACATTAGGAATTAATCATTTGTGATACAAAATGATGTAGGCTATGTCAAGTGCTATTGAACTGTGGCAGATTCAAGGGGGAGAAGAGTGCCATTTCCAACGATCTGGAGGTGCCATAATCATAATTTTTCTTACCTCAGCTCCAAAAGTTGTGCGGATGAGGTGGGTGGACATTTTATTTGCGCAAAACCCTCCCTGTCTATGTCGACTTCCTGGACCCACCACAGTATCATTTCTACATAGAAGGGTAATTTTTATCCATCGGAGGAAAAGTGAAGTTGTCGTCGGGGAACCAGCCACATCAAGGATAACCTTTCTTTGATTTTGTTCGGAAATCTGTGACGCATTCAAGGGCGGGGCTAAATTGTTCAATTTTTTTTTTAAATGGGGATA